TCAATATCTCAGCAACAAAGCACCATGGGGATGAACCAACTTAGGGTATTTCACTACTCACTGAGGTCTACAAGATACAAGTAGTCCGAGTTCAAAAGCGATTTATAACCTCAAGAGGTTCCCTCGTAACAGCTGTGGGTATCCTTTGTTTCGTAAAGAAATAAAGAATATCAAATTAAATCGAAAACACTTAAAAGAATTCCACTATGGTGGTAGAGTCTCGTGGCCAACCCATCGACTGACTCTATGCTGATTATAGAACAGGCAGTTTCGAAATGAAATTTTTCATAGACTTTGTGTACCAATTATAGAATATTTTCATATTTAATCCACAATTTTGTAATGAAAATTATTTTTTGCTCGGAAAAATGCTGAGTTTCATGCCAGTTTTAATCAGAATTTATATAGGCGAATGCTTGAAGGTCTATATGTATATGATGGACAATACATACCCATGTTCCACAAGTTAATTATTATTATTAATTAATCAACAGTGTGAAAAAGCACATATGTTTTCTGCAATTCGTTCATGTTTCATCATGCATATTGTCCTTCATTTTCTTTTCTAGCGTATACTACTTTCGTATCACAGACAGGCAACAAGTGTACATTGTACATTTTTCTTTTTTCCTCTCTCTCTCTCTCTCTCTCACGCATGGTACACGTTTTGGGAGAATAACGGTGTGATTTTTGTCTTGTTTAGACATATATAGATTCAGTTAGTTTAATCCTATTGATTCTATTTCCCACATTATAATGATACATATTATTAATAGAAAAAAAGAAGCTCAACCGTTCACTTTTTCTTCTATTCACCCGAAGTGTCTCCTTCAAATGTCTCCATATACTTTATTCATGAATATGTAAATTATTTGTTCATATCATCGTCGCAATGACAAATTTGCAACAATTGAATTTGAAAACTGACGTATAAATATTATATATCATTATAACAAGCAAGGACACTGCTTGTTGCTTTATCAATGACACAAAAGACATCATCACACTCACGATCGCAGTCATCATCAAAGAAAAATCAACAGCAACAACCATTACTACGTGGTAATAATAAAAACCATTTAGAAACAATTTACGAAGAATCAGGCGGAAGTTGCTCGACTGTGTTGAATAAGTCAACAGCGTCTCTAGCTCAACCAGTATCAAATAAAACCGTGATGCCATCGCAAGGATCAGAAACAATATCAAATACCAATAACAGCAGTGATCACGGTGGATTAATATCATCGAGATCAATACTACCGGTTAATTTACAAATACAAAAGAAGAAAACACGTTCATTAGAGCGTCCGATTGAATTGACTGAAGACCAAAAATCTATTTTATCACAGCCTACATCGATAATAAAAACACGCAAACCACGTTTACCCGTAGAAATTCGTTATCGTGATGGTTCAAAACAATATATACTACCTATTACAAATCCACATGTTCAACATTATCGTCAACAATTACTCCAATTTAATTTGCCACCTAAATATGAACAATCATCAGATGAGCAACAACAACAGCATTCCAACAAAGACAATCGGCGATCGCATGGAGAAGACAAGTCACAGAAAGACCGTAGTCAACAATTTAGAAAACAATTTATTATTATAAACGCTCAGGATATTCCATCCTCTGCTACTCTCGAATCATCATCGACATCGTCACCAGAATATGCACCATCGACAGCAACCAGTACAACTACTACTACTCGTCACATACCACAACAGTATTATACACAACACAGTAAGTTTAATATTCTCCGATCTTAAAGATACATACTTTTTTATAACTATAAATAAACTCTAAACTGGATCATTGACAATCCGTGTAGGACGAATGGAGAAAAAAGTAGGGGATTTCGGCAATAAATTTCATGCTGTCTCAGTCGAAATTACAAATTACAATTTACAACCGAAATACATCGTCCTTCCAGTACTGTTGTCCGAATTTTTGACGTTGGACGAGTTCTTCATCTGCTTTTTCACTTTTCTGTGTTTAACAGAAGAGTATGCATGTTATAATTCAACAGCGCTCGAGTCTCTCATTTAGTTCAACATCCAGTAAATTCATCATATCAACAACAACATCCGACATCGGTCACAAGAGCCCCGACGGCTCCGTCCTATCAACTACGACCGCATCAGAGACGGCATGTATCACAAATCGATAATATTCGCAGTCGATCCCTGCCTCCACCGCCACCAAGACTACCATCGAATGTACACTCGATACGATATGCTTCAACGGATCGCCTTCGCCAACAATCGGACTCATTGAAGAAGAGGACAGAAGTATCTTCTGTACAAACAAAAAATACACCCTCACTGCAGATAAAATTAACAAATGAGAATGACATACATGAGGAAATAAATAACCAAAAACGAAAAACAACAACAATTGTTGGCGGTGTTAATAGTGCATTTAAACCATTTTCTAAACGAGATATCAAACATCAGAAACTACCGCCATCACATGCGAAAAATGTGACAAGGTAAGGAATATATTTATAACTGAAGTTTAAATGATAACCTTCGACTATATTTTAGTCAGCCAGTACCCAACGGCGTACTACCAAACCAACAACTTCCACATTCAACTCTGTCTTCCAAGCATGATGGACAAAACTCATCTCAGTTCACATTCTATGAACATCACCAGCAACAATATCGATCTTCCATTCGCCCGACATCTATGCATACGACATCGTCCTTTACACCGTCGATGTCAAATAAATATCGTTCATTCAGTTCCGATACGAATCGACCAATAACCAACTACACAAAGCAAACAAACTTCTACAACCAACAAATGCAGTATCCAAACAGCGAAATACGAGCTCCACAGCAGCAAACATTGAGGGCCGATCAACAATCATTCAATTACAACCATCAGTTCGCTGGTGATAAAAATCATAATAGTAACAAACGGTCATCCTCGTTACAAACAACAACAAATCGTGCTATACCGGTAAAATCAACGGTATCCAAAGGTGCATTTGACGATGCAACATATCGTACGCGATCCTATTCAAATCACAATCCACAACCGTCACCTACTATTAATATTGATCCGTCTTTACAATGGTACACATTCGACTCATGTGTTCAAGATTTGCCTCATTTATCATCAAAATATGCACAAAATCCAATTCGTGTTACACTGACAACACGCTCAAAAGAAAATAAATCATTTCTGGCTTCTACGCAGAACTCCGAACTAGAACAACGTCTGTTACAAGCTGGTTTATCACCAGAAACAGTCGCACTATACGAAAGAATACTAGAAGTTGCTGATGTTAAGCAACCAACGCCATCATTACTGACTACTACATACCGCTAATAGCAACAGTAGCCCGCATGTTTGCTTTAGGTTTATTCTCTTATTTTTACTAGTAATAAAAACATCTGCCATGGGTTCTTTAAAAATGTCAATTGTCGTACATAGAGTTCACATTTGAAGAGTCGTTACAATAGAAATTTTTGTCTCGTCTCCGAAAAACTGTATTTAGGAAGATACTTGAGAACTTAGAAAGCTTTGCAACTGAAGTGAGAGGTATGATTTTTCATTGACGTCTACAACTAAAAGGTTTAAGAACCCGTTTAAATTCGGAGGAGACTAGAATGTAAGTCAAAAATTGAGTTTTGCCAGCGCGTAGCTTTAACTGAAGAAACAAATGAAATGTTCTCTGTTTCAGATGATTTTCAGGATATTTTGCGATGGGTGCGACCTTGCCAAAATAGAGAAATGGAAAAAGTTCGAACTCTCACTTTTAATCTATTTCCGCCTTTAATCCCTTAATAAATATTTTTTTTAAAAAAATTAAACAGCAAACTTCAAACAAATAAACTCTAGTAATTTAAACGGTATTCTATTGTCGAGGATTCTCCTTCTATTGTCGAGGATTGCTGTAAATAAATAATTAAAATAAATGAATTTAGACTTTTGTGAAGTACCCGGTGGGCCGTAAAGAATGAGCCTCTCAGTATTTTCTATTTTTCTCGTGCTCCTTTGAGACCCTAAGGTTAATATTTTTAAAAAAAAAAATACTCTACAAAATCATATCTAAACTTTAATTTCAGAAAAAGAAAACTAAAGCAAATTATACGAAAGGCTAATCAAGAAAACTAAGCAAATTACACGAAAGGCAAAAAACACTGAATACTTTCTAAACTCAAAAATGATTTCTTATATTAACCCAGGTCGCAGGAAATGACACATAAATGAGACATGTATTTATGATATGAAGTGAAAATGATATTATAATCCTAAAATGATTTAAATATGAGCTTAAAATGATATCATATTTGAGTCATTTTAAGACCATTTCATAAAATGATATAAAGATGATGTATATATGATATAATTTGTAAAAATGATCTAAATATGATCCTAGTATGATCATCTAAAAATGATCTATTTATGTATCATTTTTATATCATATCTCTAGGATCATAGATGTGACATTTATGTGTCATTTTTAAATCATTTTAAACTTCTAATCTAAAATCATCATTTTCTTACAATTATATTTGTCACATTTTATGATCATAATTAGATCATATCATTTATGTGTATTAGATTAGTCATTTATGGGACATTATGACACAAACGAAAGTAGCACTGTTTATGGAATTATGCGCATTTATCTTCTACCACTTTCCACAAACACTGTACAGAGTTAAGCCTGGAGACTAAAAGATAGTAAAGTTAATTTCTGATATTTTTTACTCCGACGTCGACCCCCGAAAACCCTTTCTTCAAGGTGAAAACCCCTTTTTAAACTTTATTTTCCGTTTTTCGCCATGAAGGAAGTGTTTTCCAAGGTGGGACTAGAAGTGAAAAAATGTCAAAAATTAAGTTTACTATTTATTAGTCTCTAGGCTCAACTCTCTACAGTGTTTGTGGAAAAAACTAGAGGCTAATTAATTAAAATTACTAGTTGTTGTTGTTTTTTTAAACTTCAAAGTGAAAATCCCAAAACAGAAGGAACAAAAACATATATATTTGTATAGCCGTGTGATGTAGTGGATAGCATCGTAGACTTCTGATCTACAGATTCAGGGTTCGAATCTCTGCACGAGCTGTTTCGTATTTTTTCTTCTTTGCATTTCTTATCTCATAAATAGTCTTAAAATGGTCTTAAAATGAGCCAAAAATGATCTAAACAGGATCATAATAGGCTCATATTTTGATGACCATAATAAGATGATATTTATCCCATAAAAAAATGACATAATTATGACTATATTATGATACAATAAATTAGATAAATATGGGAAAGATGTGATTTAAAAATGAGCCATATATGGCACAAAAATGAATCATTCATGGCTCATTTTTTATCTCATTCTTCACGGCCTGGGTCCCTGTCTAAACATTTTTTCTTTGATGAAAACCAACCAATCCGAGGCCTTGACTACGCTATTAAACTCAGATCTGGGAAACTGAATATTTTGAAGGCCTGTGAATACTACGGGCGGATTGGGCTCGTCGACATTACGTAGTGCATCCAAAAAGAACTAAAAATATTCGTAAAATCGAGTAAGAGATAAAAAAGACGTAATTTCCACTGTTTTCTTTATGGTAGAAATACTCAGCAGAATGTGTCGCAGCCTCAATGGAAAAAATGTGTCGCAAGTGGCTCCTGGTATCGCAGATGGTTATGTCGCACATCATATCGCAATTTGCGACACTTGCGACACATTATCTTTTAGTGTGATAACTAGTGAATATCAAATAAATTTAATGAAAAAAATTGAAGTTTAATTCAGCATTACTTATGTTTTAACAGTTATATAAAAGTAATACAATCTGAGCTACATAGAGATTTTTAAATGCATTATGTATTGTTACAAAAAGTGTGCAATATTCGTCTCCGATCATATTGTGGAGGATCATCCAAGTAGTCGCTATACTTCCTCTTTCTAGGATGTGCGTTCTATGATGTTTTTGGTTCCTTTGATCTTACTATTATACATTAAGTTCACAGTCAGTCATACCATCTGGAAGGAACCATTGAGTTACAGCAATGATAAAAAATTATTGATAAAAAGCAAGATGAGTAATAGAGTCGGTCAGACTAAGGCGTTCTTTTCTTTTTCATGTTTTCTTCTTTCGGATCGTGTGGTTACAATGGGGGCACAGAAAGAGAATAGTACTAATCACCTTACTTCCTGTTGAACGTACATGTTCACAGAGTGGTTTCACCGATGAAACTCCTTTCTTAACGTTGTGGTTATTGACATTTCTAAAACTTAAACAGAAATTTTTTATATTTGACAATGCCCTGTTTCTCAAATATCCACTATGTATTTTTTTGAAATCTATATCTGTTGACTACCGAACAGGACTTTGCAAAATATAGTACATGATCTCCCTAAGAGACTCTGTTAAATGCTCTACACATTTTCTCATCCAATATGCCTCAATAGGTAGATTAAAGCGAAAACAAAGCGAGATAAAGTAGGACGAGAAAGATTTCAGAAAACTTTTATTTTCTTCCAAACGTAAAGAAGTACGTGAAAACTAATCAACTAATTTATATAGTTTAGTGTTTGAAAGTTAATTTTAAGGAATACAGCAGTCGATCTTTTGTTCACTTTTATTAAAGATTAGTCGAACGCCGTGACTTTCTAACGGAAACGCCACAAAAATTTTATTTTATTAGATTTGACATAAAAATCTGAACTTTCAGGTTGTTGACCGAAGACTTTTCAGACGCAATACGTTAATTGAAAACACAACTGCTCGAGCGTAGCACTGCCATGATTTAGTCTATGAAGATTTTTTTGAACACGAAACTAACGTTTGCGAAAAAGAACATTCTATATCAGAAGACCATTATACGCACCAGTTTAGTCAATCACAAATGTATTTCGTTAAAAATGGCTTATTTTTTTTCTGAAATTGTAGCGTTGTTCTATTTATACGTTATTATATAGACATTTCTTATAAGTTCATCCACTATTGAGTTCACAGAAATTACCTGTGAAGGTCGTTATTCACTCCTGGTCGTACCAGCGTACTTTTCATTTACCATGTAAAAACTATGCTATTTGCTGGTCTGCGTCTCCTGTTCTTTTGTGAATACTCATTCTATTATTCTGAATTTTTGCGTCTGCTAGCCATCAGTACTCAATTTACACTTAAACAAGAGTATTTGTGGGAGAAATCAGATACATGTTAAGACCGCCTGCTACATTGTTATTACATCTCGCTGGTAAGGCCAGGAGTGAATAATGACCTTCACAGGTAATTTCTGTGAACTCAGTAATGGATGAACTTATGGGAAACGTCTGTACAATAACGTATAAATATAATACAATTTCAGAAATTGTTAAAGATAAAGAAACTGAAAAATAAAATATTATTGTTATATTAAACAAACACAAATAAAATATAATAACTGATAATAAGTGCCACAAAAATCAGTACAACCACCATTGATTAGTGTTGTTCCATAAGTGACGTAAGAAAGACTGTCACAAGCATGTTGAATATACTATTGAGTGTCACAAAATATAGTAACTATTTACTATGAATGTTCCAAAAACTTTTATTGTTCAATCTAAAAAGTAGCCTATCTGTTCAGCTTTTTGCGCTCTTTCGAATGGTGCATGTTTCAAAACATTTCATTTGTGTTCAATTATCAAAAATTTCAATTTATCGAATTTTTTAAGCCTCAATATAAAATCAAAATTTAAATAACAACATGGGCGATAGTAAAAGGGCTTTTTAACCAAAATGTAGCCAATAAAATTCTTTATCAACTCATATAGTTTTCATGTCTACGAATTCTTTGTGAATCGAAAGCAGGTGGAAATTATGAAAAGTGGGTGACGAAGAGAGTTGATCGTGTCTGGATTATTTACCAATAATAATTGTACAGTGTGAAGTACGTTGATAAATGTGTGGTATCTACTTTATTGAAGAATATTCGCTAGATAATATTTTAATTTACTAGAATATACTTTTTTCGTCGAGATAAAATCTAAATTTTAAATTGTAATCGTCAAATAGATACAAAATTTGATGTGGAAACTTACAAAAAAACTGATTCTTGCGTGACTGGGCGATACTAATAACTGTACGTCGACGAATGTACCGCAACGATTCCTTTTAGCCGACATTCTTTATTACAAACTGTACAACTTTATTTTCGAATAAAACATAGAATCAACATGTATCTGGATATATACAACACAATAACTTTTTTTCTCCAACACACATCTAGTTAAGTCTTTCGTACAAGACTCAATGCCCTTGTTTTATTAAATAGAATTAGTGAGTTCTACGCACAACTATGGTAAATCAACGAAATATTGCTTAACTCTCTACTA